CTCCCCCCACCCCCCGGGCCCCAAGCCCATTAGGGATTGAGCTGTTATCTCCCCTACGCCCAGAAGGGGGCGCGCTCACCGCTGTGTTCTTGGCCCTTGCAGCCGTGTTCTGGGAGTGGGGGGTGGGGAGTGCCCGCGTCGGACAGCGACAGAGCCGGGCTCCGGGCCTCCGCCTCGCTGAGCAGGCCGAACTCCATGGAGAGAAGACTCTGGGGGAAGAAAAAACACAGAGCAGGTCAATGGGGTTATCCGGTTCCCAGGGGTATTTCCCTACAGGTTCACTGTCCCCTTCCTTAGCCACCCTGGGTGGGGTGCCATAGGATAGAATGGGGAAACAGCAGCAGGGGGCAAAAGGTGTCTACTCAAAAATTGTATGCACAGATATACACACTAGACTTTGTTTTGTTCACTGCGGGGGACCTAAAACTGTGCCAGTTGCACAGCTGGTGTTCAATAGATATTTATTGAATTAATGAAAACTACAATGATTGCACCCCACATGCCATATACCACATCCTCAAAAACTTCAGTTCCCTCTCACACGAATGCCCAATAGCCCCATAAACTTACACATGCCCCTCAGCCAATCACACATAAGACACAGCTGGAACCCCTGTTACTCTCCATTGGGACAGATTTGATTTTGAACCAGGCCTGATATTTCTCCCATAAAGATGATCACTGCTATCGATTATGAGTACTTACTGTGTGCCTTTATCTCATAATTTCTTCCCTCACAAGAATGCATCAATATTAAGTATGATCACCTTTTTTGGGTGCGGAAACTGAGACTTGAAGTAATGATTAAGGGCCACAGAGCTTGTAAGTAGTGGAACTGGGATCTGAACCAGGTCTACCAGGTGTGGGAGACTCCTACGCTAATGCTTTTTCTCTGTTTCCTTTTTCCAATTGTGTTCTTTGGGGCCCTACCCCCTCAGGGACTGGAACTCAGGGCTCCTCTCAAGGATAGAACCCTAGCCTGGACTTGATTTCATCTGCTTCAATTAGGGCAGTCCTGCTTTCGTCTGTTTTGTTTATGCTTTCTGGAAAGATTTCATTTGAAAAAAGGGGCCCCAGAATCAAAAGCCAGTTTGAAAATCACTAGGCATTTGGCTTTGTCTGCTTCTGTGCCTGCCCAGACACACTTTGCATCCTACCGGTCATTGTCCCACTCTCATGCACAGCCTCTACCAGGCCCACCCAGGCAGTAGATTATGAGCTTCTGAAAACCCCTTTGCCACACTTACTCCCTCTCTCAAACTTTGCCTGTCATTGCCCAGGAGCCTGCCTGGGTCCCTCTTCAAGTCTCCCCTGCTGGTTTCTCTTTCCTGTTGGCTCTCCCAGGCCCCCTCTGGTAGGAGGAAGGAAAGGGACACTAGTGGGGCTCAAGGACTCTGGATGCCTCTAAGTCAGAGGAGAACCAAAGGAGGCTAGGGACAGAGGAACAAGGGTGCAGAGAGCTGGGTGGGAGGGGTCCATCTGCCTCCCCCATTAACAGGGACTTAACACAAGCTGTGCAAGGTGGCATTAATGTGGTGGATTAGACTAAATAGAGATGTGTGTCACTTGGCTGCTCTGAATTTATTAGGAGCCTTTCTCAGGGAGGCACAGATGGGCAGTGGCCTGTATTTGCACATGGTAATGCCCCCTTCAACCAGCTCAGAGAGGACAGCTGCCCCCTGCCTCCACCTCTCAAGTAAGACTGGGGTAGGGCAGAGGTCAAGGCAGGAGTTAAGAAACAATCCTTGTTCCTTCCACAGGCGGAGGAGACTAGACCTCTTCCTAGGGTTAAAGGGAATCTGGGAAGGAAGGAGAGAAGTCAGGCCAGGAGTGGGGGTGCTCAGCTTTACCTCTCCCCTTTCAGGTCTGAGGTCAGGAGTCAGAGGCTTGGGGCTGGCTCAGCGGTGCTCTGGTGGAAAGGAGATGCCCTTGGGAGGGACCTGTGGCAGCCTTGACTAGCAGTTCTTCCCAAATAGCTGGGAAGGCATAGAACTGAGAGCTGGAAAAAGGGTTGCTCTGAGGTCTCCTTTTACTTTATACCCAAGAGGATGAAGAAGGTAAAGGGGGATGAATACATGGTGACAGAGGAGACTAGACTTTTGGTGGTGAGCACACGATAGAATATACAGATGTTGTACTGTAAAGTTGTACACCTGAAATTTATATTATTAACCAATGTTACCCCAATAAATTTAATAAAAAATAAAACAAATATATATTTTAAAAGATGCCCTCAAAATGCAAACCATGCCCCTGGTTTTTCCAGAGGCCACAGGAGCAACAAATTGGGAAAAGAGATATTTGGGTTTGCCTGTAGGGGAAGCTAAATCCCACCATTGCCATTTATCCTTCCAGTCTGCTTTGGCTCCAGACTTCTAATTTTCCAAACTCCCCTTCCCCCAGCATTCCATACCTGTGTCTTGGTTTCACCCTTTATTTCAGCAGAGGGGAGGCAGGGTGAGGAGAGATAAGGGCCAGAGTAAAAGATGAAGCTGAGAAAGCAGAGTTCAGGCTGTATGTTCCTAGAGACAGACAGACACACATGCAGACACACAGAGGCCCCCCACTCAGACAAAATAAGCACTTGGACTTGGAACTAGAGGCATACAAACACACACTCTCCCACACATGTGCTCCCACATTCAAGGAGACAGACACACACTGTCACACAGTCTCCTCTCTCTGTGACAGGGACAGCTGCCTTGGCTGTTTTGGAGCTAGCCATTACCCTCCCCCCTCCTCTTCCTGGCCCCTCTGAACTTCAGCTCTCAGCCCCAGGAACTAAGAACTCTGTGGGGGAGGAGGGGACCAAAGGGGCCAGGGGAGTGGTGTACACTCGGTGCTGCTGGGGAGAGCCTGTTTGGCTGAGTGCGGAGATGGCAGGAGAATGCTGGAGGAAGAGGGACAGGTGGGGGTGGAGGGCAGAAACTCCCAGGCCCCTTTTAGGGAAGTAATCTGGTAGAGCCCAAAGAAATTAGGTCTGGAGTTAAAAGATCTTGGTCCATGTCCTGGCTCCCCAACTTACTAGCTATTAGTTCTTGGCAGATTACTTCATCTCTCTGAGCCTATTTTTCATCTCTAAAAGGGAAATCATAATCCCTCCCTCCCTCCATCCCTCCCTCCAGTATTGTTATAAGGTTAAAATAAAACATACCATGTAAAAACTCTATCCAAGTGTATTTTTTTCTCATTCGTTGAAGAGATGTTCATTTGGCACCTTCTGTGAGCTGGACACTGAGTGAGGCACCAAGGATAGAGTGGCAAGTAAGAGTCCATCCTCGCCTGTGCTCTCGCTTGAGTGGCTCGCCTCCCTAGACCCTGTGCATCCCGGGGAAGACTTTCTCCAGTGAATACGGAGGTGGGTGTGCTGCATTTTAGGGGGGGATGCAAATGTGTGTTGTAAGCACTGTCCTGAACATAAAGGAGAGTCCAGTCAGTAAGGTAACAGCAAAATGGGTACAGTAACCCAAGCTGGGGGTCACTTTGGGGACCAGGGACTGGTAAAGGAAAGAATGAAGCCTCAGGCTCCTGACTGGGTTAGTAATATAAGGTAGAGGGGGTGAGGCTGAGAAGGAACCTGATTGGGAAACTGGAAAGAACACTAAGGCAGGCAGGCAACAGAAAAATAGAGGGGGAGGCATCTGCCTCTTGTGCCCTGCTGGGCTGGTCAGGCAGAGGCTCGGGGTGCCAAGGGGTTGTCTGAGCTGAAGACAAGCTTGCTGAGGGTTAAACTCCCCCAAACTGCTGGAAGTCCGGAAGCTGCGAAATTGAGACTGAAGTCAGGGACAAGCAGTAGGTCTGGGAGCCACAGGTTTGGTTGATGCTGGTAGGAAATGCCAGGCAGGGCCAAAGAGAGCCAAGAGATAACAGTGGTGCTGAGTCCAGCTTTGGGAGGGGCTGCCTGGCCCACCTCCAGCCTTTCTGATACCCCTTGAAGGGGATGCGTGACCCAGGCCCCACTGGTGTCAGGGTGGCAATCCTAGCCCTAAGGAAAAGGGAGGGCCGACAGGCGTGCTCTGATTCTGAAGCACAGGCTGGAATTACAGGAAGCTGTCATAGACTGCAGCAAGAACGAAATACCCAAGATATATTAAGGTGGAGGGCAGAGACTATTACAGGCCAGAGAGGCCATAATAGGGAGGCCATGGTTTATCCAAGGGACACAAGTTCATGGTACGAGGACAGCTGCCATGGACCCACTCTTGCTCTGAAGCCACAGGGGTAAACCAGGGCCACAGCCAGAAAGCCCCAAAGAAGTTGCAACAATGATGCCAAAGGCAGGAAACATACCCCAGAACTTAAATAGGAGAACTTTCTCCTGTGGGGACCAAATGAAGAGGACAGTAAGAGGGGGTGGAGTTGTGATGCTGTGGCTGGGCCAGCAGCAAGTTGGTGAACAGGTGTAAACCAAGGCCCTACACCATCTTCTAAACCTGAAACTGAAGCGAGGCCCTTAAGTGAACACAGCCTCACATTAATTAGCAATGCTGAGCACCCAAACTGTCTGGTCTGCTGAACTGCAGTGACAAATGGGAATGAGTGAAGACAGCTGTAGACAAGGCTCAACAGCCCCAGGAGGAAACCCTAAGACTCAAGTGGAGGCAGCAATAATTTGATGTACTTAATTTATTAAGGGGTAAATCGGGGATCAGAGAAATGAATCCCCACACTCTTCCCTCCCTTCCTTCCTTCTTCCTTCAGCAAGTGTTAGGTGCTAAGACAGATCCCCAGGACTGGTAAGGCAAAGACCCTAACTTGTAGGAACCTGCAGTCTAGGGAGACAAACAGAGCACAGGATGAGATGATAGGCTGATTCTCAGATTATGGGAGAGAGAGAAATGGAAGCCCATGTAAGGTATATGTTTTCAGGCTCAGAGACTATAGCACATAGCTGGGAATTGGGGAGGCAGAGAAGGGGCAGAGACTTTTAAATAATAGAGCAGGATTGGGAATGAGCTGGCAGGTTCAGAGGGCAACTGGAAGCCTAATTTGGCCAGGGTCTCAGTGTGGACAATTAGAGATTATCAGAGAAAGATGGGTCAGGCTTGGGGGCGTCTCCAATGAGGTGGGGTGGTTCAGATTTGATACAATCTAGGCTAGAGCATCTCCAGATTTTCCATTTAAAAACCCACTAAGACTAGTAAGAGAGAATATCACCCTGGGAAACTAGGGGAACAACCTAAAACAGCTGCTACCAGTATGAAATTTCTTTGAGCTCTCCAGCCTTATGTTAAACATAAAAGCAAACTGCCTGGCTGGCATGGCTCAGTGGTTGAGCATCGACCTATGATCCAGGAGCTCATGGTTCGATTCCTGGTGAGAGCACATGCCCAAGTTGTGGGCTTGACCCTCAGTAGGGGGTGTGCAGGAGGCAGTCAATCAGTGATTCTCTCATCATTGATGTTTCTATCTTCCTCTCTCCCTCTCCCTTCCTCTCTCTGAAATCAATAAAGACAAATTTTAAAAATTTAAAGCAAATTTGCATTCTAATCCATAAAGTTATTATGTTTATTTTAATATAAAAATAAAGTTTTCTCTCCACATCTCCAAGTGACATTATCACACCAGGAAGATAGATGGGCCATGTTTAGCCTCCAGCGTCATGCTCCTCCCACTTCTGTCCTACCCTCTCCCACCCCAGCCCCTTAAAGAGAAGCACTGCTCCAAGCAGTGGGAGTCACTGGAGGCTTATAGGCAGGAGAATGACATAAAAGCAGCATCTTTGGGACCTTTATTTGGCATGGGTGAGCAGAATAGGTTGGGCAGGGGAGAGACAGGAAAGGGGCTCTTTGAAAGCAGTTCTTTCTCATCCCACCACCTATCTTTTCCTTTCTCTCCCCATCACTCTTATCATGGGTCCCTGTTGGTGACCATGGGCTAGACATTCTAGATAATCCCAAAGCTCAGGACCTAATGGATCCTTTGGGTTAATTGCCACCCCCCCCCCC